TGCGTCGCCCTCGCGCTGCGTCGCCCTCGCGCTGCGTCGCCCTCGCGCTGCGTCGCCCTCGCGCTGCGTCGCCCTCGCGCTGCCCACAGTGTCCTTAAGTATTGCAATTCGAGGCACAAATTTGTTCTTCAGTTCTTTCAACTTAAGAAATGCGGAGCGAGTTTGGCCCTTTTGGTTTTCTGACTCCAGCTCTTTGCATTTTATTAAGCTTAAGACCATATAAAGTTTGACAGATTGTATTTCTCTGAATGAACTTATATGTTCAGTAAGAAAAGTGTACAGTGGTTCTGACTATATGACAAGGCAATAAACTATCACCATTGTGTAGTTTCAGATAATTATATCACTCTGGGAAAGAAATTCATACCCATTAGTCTCATTGCCATCAAGTCAGAAGCAACTCATAGGTGACCCGCCAGTGGGTTTCCAGAGGTTTTTAATTGCATGGGCGATTCCCTATCTTTTTCTCTCAGAGCTGCTGGTGGATTCGGGGCACCACAGAGGTGTGTGGTGAGCAGCACAACTCTCTACTGACTATGCCACCAGAACTCTCCCTTACCCGCTAGCAGCACTCCGATTTTTCATTTCCAGAACCCAAGAAATCATAAACTTTTCCTTTCCCTCCCCCTTCAATTGCTGTGCGGGTGAAAATTTACAGAAGAATTCATTTTTCCAGTAAAAATATTTTGTTTGGTGACATTGGTCAAAACCTCCTCAATTGAAGCCCCTCTTCCCACTCCCGCGCTGTTTCTTGTTTCTGTTTATCCTTCTCTCTGGCTTTTTCTTTTCTTCTAAGTCTTGTATTTTTTGGCAAATGCTGCCCTTTTGGCCTTATGTGGTCGATTGTACAAACCTGATTGCTGTCTCCGTGGATTTACCTGCTATGGACATGGAGCCTCCACACATCTTCACTCCTATCATCTGGCAGATGGGCTCATTCAATATGGGGTCATTTGTGAGGAGTTTATTTTGTGTAGCAAGTTTTCTTATTCCACTTATGTTGTAGGGAATGAATTATCTCCCACTACACGTGCTATTGGGGAGCTTTGGTAGCTTAGTCATAAGAAGTTGCGCTGCAATATCCAAGGCACTCTGTTCAAATCCACCAGCTCCGCGGGAGAAGGATGGTCGATCTCTTACTGCCTCTGAAAATCCGCCGGAAGGTCAGCTCTGGGTCGACGGTACACAGCAACAATACCACGTACTAGTTTCTAAATAACTTCTGCATGCAAAGAATAACAAGAGCCAGGCGATGGAGCAGGTTGCAGGAAGAGTGTGCGCAGACGCAGATTTCCAACATCTGCCTATTCGGGGTGTTCCACCTGTGCAGTCACCTAGTTTCCATGACAGCTGGGACATACGGCCTCCCTCCCGGGCGCTGTGCGAGGTCTCCACGAGATGCTGCGTTTCTTGTTCATTAAGAGCCTGCTGAGGGCCTGCCAGGCACTTGAGACGGCGTTGACAGACGGAGGGCGGCCTTATAGCTGCAATTTCCACTGCTCTTGATGGTTCTGCGCATGGAGAACTGGAAGCCAGTTGCGCAAATGACTGCGGAAATAGGCGGGGAAATGGGCTGCAGAGGGAGGGCTAAAAAGGGACCTTGGAAACTTTAGGGGACAGTGCTACTGTCCTTGAGAGCAACTGATTGCTTGGCAGTGGAGGTTTTTTTCTTTGAGTGGCCCATTAAGAGGAGTCTGTGGTGGAAAGCCACAACGGCACAGGGGGCGGAGCCTGAGGGCGTCCACCCCGCCCTGCCCAGTCTGCACCACCTGGAGGAGGAGCAGCACTGTGGTCTGTCGCCAGAGGGCGGAGCCTGAGGGCGCCTGCACCGCCTAGCCCACGCCTCTCGGAGGAGAGGCGGCACCGCGCTTGGCCTGACTGAGTGCAGAGCCCGAGATCCCCGGCTCCTTCGCAGCGCGGCCCGCACAGACTAGAGAAGGAGCTGCGTAGTCCTCAGGGCAGAGGGCGGAGTCAGCCAGCCCCTGACATCCTCGCCAGCGCCACCTGGCGGAGGAGCCACGCGGCGGAGCCTGTGAGCGCCCCGCCTCTCCGCACGCCCCGTCCCGCTCCGCCCAGCCCTGGTCTCCCGGAGGAGGAGCCGCGCCGGGGCCCGCAGTGCAGTGCGAGCGCGCGAGCGGCAGACCCTCCAGACAGCGGCCTGGCCGGGAGCCGCCGCCGTCCTTGCCAGGCGGGCCGCTGCCGATCTGCCGCGCCTATGCCGGCCGCCAGCGCGGCCTGAGCTCCGCGGCCTCCCCGGCCGGGGCTGTGGCCATGCTCACGGAGCTGTGACAATGCCGCCCGCCCGTCTGGCGCTTGCCCTGGGCCTGGGCCTATGGCTCGGGGCGCTAGCGGGGGACCCCCGGCGCGGCTGCGGGCCGTGCGCGCCCCCCTGTCTGTGTGGCCCGGCGCCCGGCGTCTCCTGCCGCGTCAACTGCTCGGGCCGCGGGCTGCGGATGCTCGGGCCCTCGCTGAGCATCCCCGCCGACGCCTCTGTGCTGTGAGTACCGGTGGGGGGCGGTTGCCATGGTGCCGGAGGCCGTGAGGGCCTGGGCGCAAGCATCGCTGCTGCCGGCCAGGGAGAGGCCTGGCGGGCTTGCAGGGCGTGGGCGCGTCCCCGGCCTCGGGAAGGGAAAACGGAGCACGGGCCAGGCCTCTCCCAGGGCGAGGCTCCAGCGCCGTGATGTCTGCCGACGAAATCAGCTAAAGCTGGGCCACGACCACAGCCAGGATCCAGGGACAGACCAGACCCTGCGCTCTGCACACACTACCTGCGTGAAGGGGCGGGGATGGGAAGTCACTGCCAGGGGTGCTAGAAACGCCTCACTGTTGATTAGGTACTAATTAGAATGCCGTCTGAGGTCAGAGATAGCCAGGACCTAGAAGGATTGGCCATCCACTTCCGAAATAGCAGGCCTTTGAAAACCCTGTGTACAACAGAGCACACTTAGACTACCAGACATGGCAACTGAGGCTGAGCCCTCAAGTATAGGAACAAATAGAAGGAGGAACAGCTGTAAACAGACACTAGACAATGAGACTGACAAGGGATAGAGCAGGGTTTAGTGCTGTTGGACATAGGTTCTCTATGAGTCGCAAGCGATTGGACGGCACATAACAACAACAACAAAAGAAAGTGGGCATCACTGCTTCGGGCAGCCGCCGGGAAAGCTTCTTTGCAGAAGGTTATTGGGCAAGGCCACGTAGGACCTGTAAGAATTGATGCGTAGGGAGAGGCAAGGAAGTGGGTCATTCTAAAAGGGGTAAGGCTTGAGGAGGGACAGGAGGCCTGAGAGAGTTTGAGGTGCTCCAAGAAGGAGGAGGTGGGGCAAAATGGGAGACGACTGCTGAGACAAATGCCCTGCTGGTGGATCCTGGCCACAGTGGTTAGGGAGTTGCTATGAGGAGAGTTTAAAACAATGGAGTGCTGTGGTCAAATCTGCATTTTGGGGACATTGACAGGCAGGTTCTATACCCTGAGCCCAGAGCTTGTTACAGAATGTGGTTGTTGGGTTTTGTTCTTGTGGCCATCCTCTCGTGTGGGGGACAGTTAATATCCCCATTTTACAGATAGGAAGCTGAGTCTCAGGGCAGCTAGACCAGGATGCTGTAGCCAGTCAGTGACAGTGCAGGGGTGGGAGCCTGGGATCATACTTTTAGACACGACACAGTTGGGACAGAGAAGCCTAAACCAAACCCACTGCTTTGAGTCATAGTGACCCCATGGAAATAACCAACCACCTCTTTGAGTTCAAAGGTTCTTTACAGAAGCAGACTGCCTCATCTTTCTCTCACAGAGTTGCTGGTGGATTTGAACCATAGGCCTTTGGTTCACAGTAGACTTCTTGCTTAACCAGTGTGTTACTGTGACTTCTTATAATGTAGACCTCAAACTCCCAAATATTGCTGCTTCTTTGACAATTCAACCATGTAAATTGTTAAACGGAAAACTCATATCCCCTGTAAACCCTCTCTCACGTGATAATAATCATGAAGGCACAAGAGGTGCCAAGCTCCGTGCCCTGCTTGACTCGTCCACTTCTCACATCACCTCCACCTGTCATTGTATCTGGGGGCCACAACACCAGGCTCCAGTCTTGAGACAACACATCCTGGATGTGTTTAGTGTGCAGCACGTTCAGATTCCTGCTGACTAGGGGGACAGCATTTCTGGTTGATCCTCTGGGCCATCAGCTCCATGGGCCTCTGGGGGATGTCCGTCTATCCTCCCAATTTCCTTTAAACATGGAACTGGATCACTGTGAGGTGGAATCCACTCAATAGCAGTGTACTTGGTTTGGTGGCTGCATCCAGAGCTGCACCATGTGGCCAACCATGTGTCAGCTCGGTGCCCACATGTCAGAGCTGGATAACGCAGATGTGGAACTCTCATGATAGGGTGGTCTGGCTGTGCCTGGGTCTCAGTCAGCTTTGGGTCATGTGAGTTGGAAAGCCACACCATGGGTGATGGCTGAGGGCTGTGCTTTTAGAGAGCAGGCCATTGATAGCTTTTTGGAACGTTATTTTAAAATAATAGTCTCTCTCTTAAGGATCCCTGGTGGTATAGGGTGTTCTGCTAAGAGAGGCCAGTGGCTCAAATTTACCAAGTACTTTGCCAAGGAAAGATGAAAGCTCTTCTCCCCTAAAGATTCTCAGTCTCAGCTCTCACTCTTTAGACTAACGAACCACATACAGTCCAAATACTAGCATTTACCCAAGAATAAAGCCCAGATGGCGGGAAGGGTAGGAGGAATGGGGATAAGAATCACAGTAGGGCAGAATCATGATACAGTGCAGGGGTGGGAGTTAATGTTATAGAACAAAATGTGATTGAATGGTTGGAGGAAAAAGCTTTTATAAATTTTTATTGAAATAACATTTTTTTAAAAAAAATTATTTTGTTAATTTTTGTGTGTGTACCGTCAAATCAGATCTGACTGGTAGAGGAGGATATTGTCCCTTCTTCTCCATCAGAGCATATGGTGAATTCAAACCACTCATCTCTGGGATTGCAGCTTCTTGCCACTAGGCCACCAGAGCTCCCTTCAAATCACATTTTTTAAAAATTCTTTTTTTGTAGATACACACACACAAAAAAAAATAATAAGAATTTTTTAAAAAAAATTCTTTTTTGTTAGGAAAAAAATCACAGCTTCAGAAGCTCAATGGAGAGGAGCGATTTAGAAACAACTAGGTGGCAGTGGATTTGGGGTTTTGGTTTTAGGAGGTCTGATAAAGAGTTCTGGTGGCACCGTGGTTGAGCACTCAGCTGTTAGCGGAAAGATCTGTTATTCAAACCTATTGATTGCTCTGTGAGAGAAAACATCTGGCTGTCGAAAACCCAGCAGCAGTTCTATTCATCACGGAATTGCCCTCCTAGGGCTTGGTTCAAGGGAAGATTGGTGCCAGAGTGTAGATCTGGCATGGCTGTAACTCCTTGCACTGCAGTTGCCATGTTCCTGCTGCCTTAGGAGCTGGCAGGGGAGTAAGCCCCTTTCTTGTGTCCTTGGGGTCCAGGCCCAGGCCTGGCTTCTGCAGGGCTCAGCTGTCAATGGGATAGACTGTGCTAAACCCCACACCCAGGGATCCCCCGGGGACACAGGCATGGATGACAGTGGAGGAGATGACTGGAGGAACCCTGCTCAGACAGCAGTGAAGCTGTGACTCAGAATGTGTCCAGGATTCTCTTGGGAGCTAGCAGTGAGCATTCCAGATCTGGGGACCCTCACAGCCCCTTACAGTTTTCTAGGCTGTAATAGATTAAAAAAAATGGTATTGAAATTTGATGCAAAGTTTATAGAACAAATTGGTTTTCCACTCAGCAGTTCCTTTGTGTTATGTTTCATGGAGCTCTGGTGACTTGGCAGAGTTATGCTGCCAACCCAAAGGTGGCACCTCTCGTGGTTCACGTCCAGGAGCAGCTCTGGGAGCAAGCTGGGCAGCCTCTTCTTGTATAATTTACAGCCTTTGAAAACCCGCTGGAGGGTTAGCTATGAGTCAGTTCCAACTTAATGGCAATGAGCATTTTGAGTTATAGGTTTTATAACACTGGTGGCAATCCTCATAGGAGAACAGCATGCTTCCTGCTTCCTCCCTATATTTTTTTATTATACTAGTTTATTTACAAAATTCTAATACAATACACTGTTTTCCAGAACAGATTCTTCCAATTTCCCTCACTCATCAAATTGTATAACTTGATGATTAATATCACTCCCCCTACACATCCTCATCCCTCTGCTTCCACCCTCTCCCCGACCTTGGATCCTCATACTCATTCTACAATAATGGTTTTATACAGTATTTGTCCTTGTGGGACTGAATTAGTTCACTCAGCATAATGCTCTCCAGTTCCTTCAAGTTTTCCTATATTTCTTGTTTCTATTAATCCTTTCCTATCCCTTCTTGCCTTCTAAGCTTTTTCCCTGAATAAATGTTGCCCTGTTGATTTCATCTAATTGACTTGGTCTTATAGCCATTCCCCCCTGAACACACCTGATCTTGTCATAGGATTGATTTAAGGTTTTTATTGAGGATTTTTTTTTTTAGTTTCTCCTTAGTATTATGTTGTTTACCTTATAACCCACTACTGTTGATTGGATTTCAACTGATAGCTCAGGTGGTGGTGTTTGTGGTTAAGGTGTTTCTCTGCTAACCGAGAGAACTGGAGGAGGCATCTTATTCTTGTAAAGATTTACCTCAGAAACCTCTGGGGACGGTTAATCTTCTGTCATCTGGGGTCCCTGTGAGTTCCCCGTATTTGCCTGTCTGCTGGTTAGCTGCTGGCTGTAATCTCATCTCTGTGAGAGCCGCTCAAGGTCTTCCTCTTCTGAACACGTTCAGTGGGTCCGACTGATAACCTTTCACTTAACAGTTTAGCGCATAACCATTCAACTGCCAGGGCTCTTTCATCTTCCAACTCTTTAGGACATGCTTTCCAATACAGTAATAGTCTGTGGTGGTGCATGGAGTTTTCAGTGGCTGGCTGATTTCCGGAACTAGATCACCAGACCTTTCCTCCTAATCTTAGTCTGGAAACTGTGCAGAAACAACAGGGCTTGTGCCAGCTGGAGTGACACATACAGTCGGGGTGACAGAGCTCCCTGCATCGTGCAGCACACAAGCCCCCACAGCTCGGCAGATTCAAAGCCATGAGGAGATGTCACTTCCCCCTTCAAGGCTGGCTACAGATGGGAAGCCAGGCAGGGACTGGGGTCCTGAAGGGTCCTCTGCTGATGGAAGTGTAAGCTGGGGAAGCCAAACCCACCGCCCTGAGTTGATACCAATTTCTGGTGACCTTCGCCCAGGTTTCCAGAGCTGCCCCTCTTTACAGGAGGGGACCACCCCACACCTTCTCCCACGGAGCAGTGGTGGCTTCAAAGACCCAAACTTTCAGAAACCTCCTGCTCCCTTCTGTGCGACCTTGTGTGTACTTCAAAGCAGGGCCTTGGGGAACAGTAGGGGAGCTCTTGGGGTTCACCTGCCCTCCGGTGTTCGGTC